AATATTTTGAAGATTGTTCATTAAATTTATTTTGAAAATATTTTAATGTTTTGTTTTAATGATTTATACTATTAAGAGAAAAATGTTTGAACTACTTAACATTTTAATCTGAATTAAGATATGCTTTTATTTCTAACTGACCTCAAATTGCAGCAGCAGGTACATTTAGATATTAAATGTTCTTGCCACCCTACCCCCAGCTGTCACTAGCTCAGACAGACACACAATACATACACACACAACGTGCCTTTTGTAAAGTAAACAAATCTTTTATAATGTAAATAACTATTCCTCATTGGAACTTTTTATATCCAGTTTACTAATTTTTTGAAATTGGGGTATTCATATTAATGAAACAACAATTTCTATAAAGCAAAAAAGCTTATCTCTGTAACCTTAAGTAATTCTTGATGGTAATATTTTTCTTAATTCACCTAAAAAATCAGAGTGTGAAGGCCAAAGGAAGATAAAATCATTTCAAAGGATCAAAACAAAGCAATATAAAAAATATTTAACAGTGTAGCGAAATTTTAAAGTACGGATTCTGTTGCATTATTAATCATCAAAAGAAACAGTGTTGGACACATTGCCAAAATTTTAATTTCTAAATTAATTAAAACCAGAAGTATGGATTTTATTGCCGAAATATACATTAATTCCTTGAAGTCAGAATGAGGCTTGACAGATAACTTCTACATAAATGACTTTGAATATACTAAATATCAAATATAAACAGTAGTGTAGCAAGAAAATAAATTGGCAGAAATAATTATTCAGCCAGTGGTAATAATTAAAACCACCATTTCAAAGATTTTGTATACACAAAAAATGAGAAAATGTTGTTGGAAGATTTTACAGCACACAATTGACCAATCCTAAATCATTACTATTACACTTCTTTCTTCTTCAGTATGAGTGGACCCACATTATCTCCTGTCAATTCATTATGTTTATTGTGGGAACCATCACAGGCAGGAAACTAAAAGGAAAAAAAAAAAAAGAATTAGTGTTATTTTAAAAATATGATTAAATAGAAATATTTGTGAAATGTGCTCTCATAAATATCTGTGATATGCTATCATAAAGAAAGCATATCCTGGGGCTGGGGATATGGCTCAAGCGGTAACACACTCGCCTAGCATGCACGGGGCACTGGGTTCAATCTTCAGCACCACATTAAAATAAAATAAAGATATTGTGTCCACCAAAAACTGAAAAATAAATATTAAAAAAATTCTCTCTCTCTCGGTCTCTTCTCTCTCTCTCTCTCTCTCTCTCAAAAATAAATAAATAAAGAGCATAGGTTGGGGCACCCATCCTTTAAAAAAAAAAAAAAAGAAAGCATATCCTTGCTAAAAAAAAGAAATTTTATCAGATAGCTTTTCTGAATAATAGATACATTCTGACCACATTCTGATACCCACAGCAAATCTAACAATCTAAATAACTAACTCATTTGGTTTCGATTTTAAATAAAAATCTGGATGATTCCATATAAGGTTTAAAATGCAATCAACGATAAATTCTTATTCTCTATGAAACACTAAATTTGAGCTCATCTCTTAAATTATTTAAATTTTAAAATGAAATCTAAATTTAAATTATTCTATACTGTTTTTTTCACCGTAAAGATTATGTATACCATGGGATTTTTGAAAAAAAAATTAATGAAAAAAATTTCACTCATAATCTATCAGATTTATGTAACATTTTGTGCATTTACTGTGTATTCACATTTTTAAAAACTAGGATCATTCTATAATATGCTTTTCTATCTTGTATTAAATCAGGATCTCACATCACTAAATATTCCTTAAAAACATGATTTATAAAAGAGTCCTAATTTTCTATCATTTGTATTATGCTGTACTTTAATTGTTCTATCATCAGATAGTTTCTAAATTTTATTATAAAACATGCTGTGATGAAGAATTGTACTTAAAATCTTAAATAACCTATGATCAAAGAAAACAGATTTCATTAACTACTTATAATACTCATTACTCTAAACTCCTTTTATTAAAAATCATCAGTAATTATAGCTCCCATTTACTAGCTCATCTTAAGTAGAAAAATTTATAAATATGATTTTACTAATTTCTCAAAAATATCTGCAATGTTGATATAGTAACAGTTTTGTTTTGTTTTTGTTTTTTTGAATGCTGAAAATTAGAGATTAAAAATGAAATAATTTACAGCTGGGCATAGTGGCATATGCCTATAATCTCAGCAACTCCAGAGGCTGAGACAAATCAATAGCAAGTCAAGGCCAGTCTAGGCAATTTAGTGGACCCTATCTCAAAATAAAAAATACAGGCTAAGGATGTAGCTCAGTGGTAAATACCACAGGGCTCAAACCTCAGATCCAAAAAAAAGTAACTTGTACAAAGTTGACAACTTGCCTAACTTGCCCAAGTGACAGGCATTAGATTTATACACTATTCTGACTTCAATGCTTAAGCTCTTTTTACTAAACCTATATCCTCTCTCAAAAATTAAGTGTATTTTAAAACATATGTTCCTCTAGACAGTGATGAGCATTGGGAAAACATCAGATTTCTATCTTTATTTATTGTTCTAACTTTTCTAATGTAAGTAGACTACTAAGGGAAAAAATCTCTCACAGAACCTCAAAACTGGTACTTAAGAAACAAAACAATTCTTAACTCCACAAAAGTTCATTGTACAGGTAAACAGACATCTTACCGTCTTTGAACGCCAACACCTACAATAAGCTGCTTTAGTAAGACACAAATCTTCAATGTTTATTTCATTCACCACTTTAGGGTTTTCCTTTTGTATTTTAAGATTTATCAAGCTATCCTTCTGTTGTTTTTTCTTCGGGAAGAATGGACGGACTGCAAGGTAGCCAAGTAGTGCAAGTACACCAAGGAAAGGCAATAACCGAAGCCATTCTGAAACTAAATATGTACATATTTGTCAGAATCTGCATGCTTATGTTAAAAAAAATGCAAAATAGCATGTCTAGTTGGGTCCATGAGCTTACTCTACTTACTGCTACTCTCACATTAATTTCTCATTTAACTTACCTGTAAAACAGAATAAATCACACGATAAACCCAGTTCTATCTAGGACTATCTTATTTATGGGATAAACTAAGACTCATGAAACTGGAAATCTTATTTTCAGAAACCTATTTTAAATGTCATTGTACCCATTAAGTATATTTTTGTTTGTCTTTACTTTTATCAGGAATTACATTGATCATAATTATAAGTAAAACTCAGTGTGATACATTTAAGTTTAAAAAACATTTTCATTCTTCTCTCCTTAATACCATGTTTAAAATCATATAACAATATTCATAAAATTTTTACCTCTGATTTATAATTTTAGATTAGGAGTATCTTCAAATGCTTCAACTTACTTTTTTGGGTAAATGTTTCTGAAGAATACCAAAATGTTATGTAAAATACACTATCTTAATGAATTAAAACTTGCATATATTCAATGTTCTCATTTTAAGATGAATTTCATTCTGTTAAGTGTTCATTAAATGTTCATTAAGACAGGCTAGGTACTCCAAAGACATTTAATGAACACTTAAGACAGGGCATTATCCCAAATCTTTTATCATGTTGGATTAGGCCCCAACTTCCTTAACAAGTCTCCTAAAGTGCAAGAAATAAAATATCAATAAAGTATCAATAACTAGGATGGATTCAAACTAAAAAGCTTCTTCTTAGCAAAAGAAACAATGACATGAAGACAGCCTATAGAGTGGGAGAATATCTTTACTACACACACATCAGATAGAGCACTAATCTCCAGGATATATAAAGAACTCAAAAATATTAACACCAAAAAAACCAAATAACTCAATCAATAAATGGGCTAAAGAGGTGAACAGACACTTCTCAGAAGATATATAAGCAATCAACAAATATATTTAAAAAATTCAACATCTTTAGTAATGAGAGAAAGGCAACTCAAAACTACTCTAAGATTTCATCTCATGCCAGTCAGAATGACAATTATCAAGAATACAAGCAATAATAAGGATTGGCAAGGATGTGTAGGAAAAGACACACTCATACATTGCTGGTGGGACTGCACATTTGTGCAACCACTCTGGAAAGTAGAATCCAAAGATTCCTTGGAAATCTGGGAATGGAACCTTCATTTGACCCAGCTATCCCATTCCTCAGTCTATACCCAAAGGACTTAAAATCAGCATACTATAGTAGCACAACCACATCAATGTTTATAGCAGCTCAATTCACAATAGCTAAACTGCAGAACCAACCTAAATGCACTTCAACAGATTAATGGATAAAAAAATGAAATATTACTCAGCATTAAAAGAGAATAAAACTATGGCATTTGCAGGTAAATGGATGGAGTTGGAGAATATCATGCTAAGCGAAGTAAGCCAATCCCCAAAAGCCAAATGTTTCTCTAAGAATGGGAGAATATGTTTACCACACACATATCAGATAGAGCACTAATCTCCAGGATACATAGAGCACTAATCTCCAGGATACATAAAGAACTAAAAAAAAAAAAAAGAAAAAAAGAAAAAAAAAACCCAAAAAACAAAAAACCCAATCAATGACCAATAATTGGGGAGGAGGGAGCATAGGAAGAATGGAGGAACTTTGGATTGGGAAGAGTGTGTGTGTAGGGGGGGATGGGGCAGGAAAGATGGTGGAATGAGATGGACATTATTACCCTAAGGTACATGTATGGTTGCATGAAAATGGTTCGACTTTTTTTCATGTACAACCAGAGAATTGAAAAGTTGTGCTCCATTTGTGTACAATAAATGAAAATGTACTCTGCTGTCATGTATAACTGAGTAGAATAGATTTTTAAAATTTTTTAAAAAGAAAATTAAATACGGAAAAAAAAGAAGATAGGGAATATAACAAGTGATCTAAATGAAAATGGTTCTCTATGCCTATAGAGATAAACATATAAAGAAACCAAGACAAACATTTCAGCACACAATTATCAAAAGCCTGCTAATATTCTACAGGGAATCCTTTATGTTTGTGATGAGTTATATTTTTTTAAATATATATTTATTTTAGTTGTAAATGGACCTTTATTTTATTTATATGCAGTACTGAGACTCAAACCCAAGGCTCACACATGCTAGGCAAGTACTCTACCACTGAGCCACAACCCCAGCCCCTCCTGATGAGTTATATTTAATTTCTTTCACTGAGTGCCTATCTTACTAGGCACTATACAGAAATATCCTAGTTAAGAGAAAAACAGGATTATGTGCCAAGAAATGCTAATAAATATGCTAATAAATATTAATGTACTAACTCATTTAACACCATTTATTATTTAACTATTTAATTGTAACATTATTATTCCCATTTCACATGTGGGTAAACTGTAGCTTAGCAGGCTTAGTCCTGAAAATCTAAATCCAAAACTTGTTTTAAATCATTGTGAATCAAATCCAACAGATATAAAATTAAATCTATTTCTCTCTTGGTAAAAAACTACTCTCAATTTTCTTACTATTTAACTACTGAAAGAAACACTGGCTAATACTGATACTTCCAAAATAAAATTTTGATATAGCGCCATGCCAAAGAGATCTAAATGAAACCTACATACATACCATCTATATGATATTGCTTGGTACAGAGAAGATACGCAATAAATGGCAGTTTGAAAAGTGATTGCAGAGACTGGAGAGGAAGCAGGAGCAACTCCTTTGAAAAAAAACATTTTGCCAAATAAACTTGGCAATGCTCTATGGTAGAATTGGAGATGTAATCTGTTAGTTACCAGAATGAAGCTCTGTAAGGGTAAGAACATTGTCTTCTCATTAGCTGCTACAGTCTCATAACCAAAAAGGAGACACCCCATGAAGATTATTTAATGAACTAAAGTTCTGTGCATGAAATAGAACTGTTTCTTGGGGTTAGAATCTTTGTATAGATCTGTGCTGTCTAATATGTTAGCCATTAGCCACCATCTTGTTTTGATTTGTATCTTAACATTTTTAAGCAAGTATGGTAATCATGTACACAACTGCTTTGAGTTTTCAAGAAGAGGTGGCAAAATGGGGAAGTACCAGAGTTGGCTTAGAGGGAGGAGGAGATGGGGGAAAAAAAACGAGGGGAGGGGAGGGCACATGCCTTTACTGTGGTTTCCATGGAAAAGGCAAGGCAGGACAGGGTAAACAGCTTCTACTGACTAGCTGGAATCATTTTAGTGGATTCCAGGCAAAAGGAGTGGTTTTTAGTAGTCTCTTATCTATCCCCAGGGTGATTCAGGGAAGGGGAAATACTGGCTTAATGAGAAGGAGTTAGATAAAGGAGGTGGTTGGGAGTATAGGCTTTGGATTGGTTGGTTAACATATGGTAAGTTTTCTCTGAGGCAAATTGTTTAATATCTCTAGGAATTAGATAGAGGCAGAGTCTAATACTCTGCCTGGGAGAGACAGACTTTCACGGACAGCAAGGTCCCCAAAATGTCAAGGTCTCATAAAATACAGAAAAAATTTAAAAAACATGATTACTATACACATTCAACTTCTAAGAAAAATTGGACACCTTTCAGGAGCTCAATATCTACATATAATCATTGACTACCATAATAAATAGCACAGAGAACATTTCTATCCCACAAACTTTTTTAAAAACAGCATTGTTTTAAATAGTTCCATTAAATTTCCAACTCCATAGCACAGCAAGACTACTTTCCCAGCTTCAATTCTCACCAAACATTCCCTCCTTCACACACCCAAAGCCAGCCAAAGTTATTGCCTAATAGCAGTCTTTGCAGATGGAATTTCTTCTACAAAAATGCTTCTACCTCTCATTTACCTATTTATATGGTAAGACTAGGTTCAAATATTACCTCTTCCAGAAGACTTCTTTGGTTTCACAACATAGAATCAATCACTTCCTCCTATGCTTCCAAGCACCTTTCTTCATATTTCTGCAATCACACTACTTTGTGTCTAAAGTTGTCTCTTTATATAAACCTGGAGAGGAAAGGAGCCATGTTCTTAGCCCAAAGTGGATGCCTTATCTATGTTAATAAGTGACTTACTGAATGAAGGAAGAGCACAATGTCAGTCCCTTTCTCACTCATGATACTGATTTATAATTTTTACTTACACTTAACTTCTAGATCAGCAATCAATGTTTTAGGTTTTGTCCCCCTCATCCAATGCAGATGTTGAATTGGTGGTCATGCAATAAATGTTTGTTGAATGTAGAATATCATTAAATATTATTCTACATATTATAAGAAAGTTACAAGAGGCTAAAATGTCAAAAAGCAAATGAATAAGAATGTAAAGATGAAAATCTTAACTTTGGACTCTTTAAATATAGCTCTTTTAATCTTAATCCACAAATCTCAGGGAACAAATAGTATTAATTGTTTTAAAATCTACTTCACAAAATGTTGAACATGTAATTCCTTGGTAAAACACTGCTCTAAAATAATATAATAAGAGGTGCTATTATCTCCTACAATAAAGTAATAACTTATAAAACAGTCTGAGTGAAATCTACTTTTTGAAATGGTATTAGTCCAAAACTATATACCCTCTAAAACTATAAAACCTCATGAACATGGACAGTAATGTGACAGTATTAAAGATACAAAATTACAGATACAATCCTATCACAAAGGAGTTGTCCATCCTCTATCAAATACAAACCTACTAAAAAGGATTACAGGCCAGGCAAGGTGACACATGCCTATAATCCCAGCAACTCAGGAGGCTGAGACAGGAAGATCATGAGTTCAAAGCCAGCCTCAGCAACTCAGCAAAGCACTAAGAAACTCAATTAGACCCTGTCTCTAAAAAAAAAAAAAAATACAATAAAGGGTTGGAGATGCAGCTCAGTGGTTGAGAGCCCCTGAGTTCAATCCCTGTACCCCTCCAAAAAAAAAGGATTACAGTACTGTGTAATGTGGCAATCATATATAAGATACAGAGGAAGAAATGAGTAATTCATTGCTGAAATGAACAAAAACGTTATTGGTTTTGACAACCAGGTTTCTGAAAGATGAGTAAGATTACAGAAGCTCATACGCAAATGAAAGGAGGAATTACATTCTATGCAAAGGAAATAGCATTGGCAAAGGCACATAGATGACAGTCATGAAAGGTTTGGAAAACTAACTGCCATGGTATTGCTGGAATACAATGAAACCCAAGAGATGTTTGGCACCCAGCAGGTGCCATGTGATGAAAATTTCTGATATGCATCAGATAAGTGGGAATCTATTCCATGCATAATAGGAAACCACAGACATATTTAAATATTAATTTACTTGGAAAATGATTCATTAATGAAATTAAGCTGGTATCTGTTGGAAGATAAGAGGATGGCCATAAGGAAGAACAGAGAGGGATGATGGTAGGAAAACAAGAGGCAAGACAACTTATTAGAAATACAGTGAAATAGCCCAGAAAAAAATGATCCCAGCTGAAACTAGGATACTGGCACATTAAAGCAGAGAAGAGGGTACAAACTGTAAGAAATTATCTATTGGGATTCCCTTGAACAATTGTGTTTGTGCACATTTTCTGAGGATAGACCATAGCTTTCATCAAAATCTCAAGATATAGATATCTCAAGATATTCACCAAGAATAGATCTATTATCAACACAAAATTTAAGAACCACTAACTCAAGTAGTAAAATCAATAGACTTTGGTTAAGTTAGTTATGGGCATGAGATAAATGGAAGAAGTAAAGATCCTTTCATTCCATAGATAGATGGTGACATCTAATAAAAACAACCCATCCCCAAATATATAAGAAAGGTGACTTTAAACAGGAAGAGAGAGTGCAGGAGACGTACAAAAAAGGGGAAAATGATGCATCAGCATCCTTAATCCATTAAGTCCCAAGATTTCATGTTAACATTGATGAAATTTACACAAGTGCATTAAAATAAACTGAAGATCATAATCTAGCATACACATGTAAATATTAGTATATTTTGACTATATTCTTACTTTATATAGTTATATATTATATGATTATATTATACACTATATTCAGCTTTTTATAGGTATTCCAGATCTGGGATGATAGGCAAAAAAATGGGTTAAAGAACGTAAGGGAGAGACTAATGGTCCACAAATAGCAACAAAAAAGTAAGGAGGTAATACTGCACTGATGAATGGCAGAGGCTTTAAAAGACAGAGCTTTCTTTGAAAGGGTGAATATATTTTCTACAAAGAAATTGCGCAAAAGAAAATGGCAATTCTCTGCTCTCTCCAGAGAAAAGGATAAAAAGAGAATACTCCAAGAGCTACAAGTTAAGTGGTTTACTCAGGTGAGTTTTGTTTCACTTATATCAAGGTAGTACCTCTATGAGAAGTACCAAGGATTTAGGAGACAAGCCAGGATGAGAAGATGAAAATCTGAAAGATGATTAGAGGTTGGGGAGAGATGCATTTTTGACAACTAAGTGACATAGATGAAACTAGCTAATCTCAACATTTAATCCATTTTAAAAGCACCCAGTTAGGCAGCATTTTGTTTACTCATTTGAATGTAAAAGGGTTGAGTCTTCTTAAATTTTATTAAATATTTCACTTCCAATAGACTTTCTTACTTTATATGAAGATCACCTGTTTCTAATATTAACATTACAAGTGTAATTAATATTAATGTTTCTAATATTATTACAAGTGTCCTAACATTTATATGAAACTTCTATAACCTACTATTTAACAAACGACAACAAGACTAACAAGGTAAAAGAACCAGAGTACCATCAGAGAAACAAAATCAAGACAGGAAAAACATGTCAAAATAACTTGAATAGCAAGCAATTTTGTTTTTCATGTGATGAAATGTTTTATTCATAAAATGGTTGTTTTTAACATTCAATAATAAAGACATTTTCTCTGGTTCATGGAGATACAGAAACTATTAGACATTGTCCTTTTGGAGGTCAATCAAAGAATGTTGATTAAAAGTACAAATGTCCATATCTTACTCTCCAGAAATTACATTTCTAAATACCTGATCTAAAAAATTAATTTTTTTTCAAGTCAGACAGATTTATGGTAGAATAGCACTCAATTTAACATCAATTTTCTCAACTGTTGAAAGAAATTATCTCCTTAAGCCAACAGAATTAGGTTTCAGAAGGGGCAGATTCAACCTTTTATATAGTGACATACACTAGCTCTAACACCCTTATTCCTGATTAAGCTATAAAAACAAATACTTTTTTTTTTTTTTTTTTTTTGGTGCTAAGGATTGAACCAAGGGCCTCAAGCAGGCCAAGCACACACTTTACTACTGAGCCACAAATATTATTATAAAAACATGTCCCCAGCTCTTATTATTAAAAAGATTTTTAAAAGTACACATAAACATATCTGGATCTCAATGAGAAATGATATTCTAAGAAACCAGGACAATTTGTTTCCCATTTCAGATTTGCAAAAGATTACCATAAAAATAATATTGACAACTTGGTTGATGTTGATTTTATGACTTTTTTGTGCATAATTTACAGCTAAGACACAGAAATGATTTCTATTCTTAACTGTAGAAGAGATGAAAGTAAAATACTATCACTGAATGACTTTACTATTATCACTTGAAACCTAATATAAACTATATTAGGATAAAGGGTTAGTAAAATAAATGATCAATTTAAAAATCTGTTTCCTTCTATTATGAATAAAACAGTGTCTTAGTTTCTAGAACACTGCCTGGCCCACAATAGATGCTCAATAATAAATACTTAATGACTTGAGGAGTTTTAAATTGCAAAATAATTATATGGAAGAAAATGTTTAAATGAGATCCACACTGTTCTCCAGAAGGGCCAATACAATCCTTAATTACACTGACTTTTAAATACAGACTAATTAGAGAGGAAAGAAAACTTAAAAAAAAAAAATTAAGTTATGATGAATACAATACCTTTATTTATTTTTATGTGGTGCTGAGGATTCAACCCACTGCCTCACAAGTGCAAGGCAAGTGCTCTACCACTGAACTACAAGCCCAGCCCGAAAAGAAAACTTTTATAACAGTAATCATATAAGTATTTTCCCAAATTCTTAAAAAACTTCCTAAAATAAAACTCTGGCCTTTCAGAAATAACCTTTATTATTTACATGTAAATAAGTGAAACTCAATTCTTTTGTTTGAACTTAATGATCTTTTATGCTTTCACATTTTGTTCCACTTTCTTTTTAAATAAATAGAGGTATAAGTTACATAAAATAACAGTGGTTAGCTCTGTGTTGCGACAATGCATCTCTCTAGCCTCTACTGAAAATGTGTGAAAATATTTGCATAAAAATATGTAAAATATTTCCATCTCCCTAGAAAGTATTCTCTTGCACTTTTCTACTCCTCCAACACATATTTTCACAACCACAGCTTCTTTCACACATCAGGAAGTTTTTGAAACTCATACAGTGGATCAGGAATTCGTTCCTTTTTATGTATCATAATTTGTTTATCCACTTTTCTTTTGGTAGATACTTGGCTGCTTCCAATTCAGGGGGTTTTACAAATAAGGCTACAATGAACATACACACATATGAAACTTTTATGGCTGTATGTTTTCAACTCTTTCACTTCTGCTCAATGGCAGAGTGCTTGCCCGGCATGTGTGAGGCACTGGATTCAATCCTTAGCACTGCATAAAAGTAAAATAAAGGCATGCTGTCCACTTACAACTATTAAAAAAAAAAAAACTGTTCAATGGCCCCTTCTGGATAAATAACACTAATGATTTTACATTTGTTCACTCATCTATTTGTGTTACCCTAGGAAATGTTATTAAAATCCCCACTGGTTTAAGAGTAAAATCTGTAAGTTTCATAGCTAGCTTGTAAACTGGAAATATGTTGTTTTCTGACTTTTGAATGGGACTATTTTATTGTTGCAGTTCTATTTCAAAGGTTTATGTGATGAAAAGAATGTTTTTAAAAATCAAGGTATTGGAATATACTGTACTTCCAAAGGGCAGTACCACACTTAATGTCTTAAAGCATTACTCTTGAAAATGTAACATAAAGATGGGTTGCTGCTGATAGATAAGAATTGTCTGTAAATTGTATGTGGTAATTAAGGAAGTCCATATGTTTTCCAAGAATGCAGAGTCATCATGAGAGAGCCAATTGCTTCTAAAACTTGTTAGAGCTAAACAGAAAGATTACAAGCAACAATAATGGAAACTTTTAAAGTTTTTTGCTTCTAATTTTCATTGAAGAAAATGGGATTTTTTAAAAGTCTCTTTAAGACATAAAAAAAATTAACTGAAAGGCTGTCATCCAGTCACACCAGCCTTCGAACACTTTCTAGCTAAGGCATCTTTCCTCCAACTGCTCCCAAGACTGTAGTAAAGAAAATGACCTCAAACGCCCCCAGGATAGGTCAACTCTACCTTTGGGATGGAGGTCATTTCATAATTTCATCACTAAGTGAAACAATTACATGGATGCCTGTACTTATCTCCCATCACTCGCTTCCACCCACACGCTCGGAGAGAGCCGAAGCCGCCCGTTAACGCAGCGCCTCGGATAACGAAGACTTAAACCCGGCTGAAACAAAGGACACTGCAGAGAGCGATGGATGAGTAGCGCAGGAAATGAGACTGGCGCTCTCCTGACTCAGCATTTTCAGTAAAGCCTCGTCTCTAGCCACAGTAGGACACCGAAGACAACGGGGTCACAAGAGCCTCGGCCCTCAAGTACCTAGACGCGGCCTCGCTGAAGCTCCAGACGCTGCTGCGCCGGCGCAGGCAGGGTCACGAGATCACGTGCCGCTCCTCCAGCTTCGCCCCGCCTCTAGTACGGGGGTTTCTACACTTCTCCCCCTCCCCCCCCCGGGGGGGGGGGGGGGGGGGGGGGGCGGGGGGGGGGGGGGGGGGGAGCTTGTAAGGATGGGGACTGGCTGATGGGGAGGGTTACCTGTGAGCCGGGCGAAACCGGTAATGCTCTCTGGGACTGGGAGCCGCTTAAGATAAGCCGGGAGCTGCACCTTCACGATGCGGGCCACGCTCTCAAGTACCATCCTGGCCAGCGGCGTCAGCTCCTCTCCGAGCCCCCTCCGCACTCCGGCTGGGCTGCCGCGCCTGCGCCGAGAACGGAAGCGGCCGGCGGGCGCTCACGGCCTGAGTCGGAGCGCGGGCGGGGCGGAGGGGCCCGGGGAAAAGAGGTGACCCGCCCGGCGCCGATTGGTAGTGGGCGAGTGACGTGCGGGCGCGGCGCTCCCTAGTCGCGGGAACGCGTGGGTAGTGAGGCGCTCCTTAGGATCTCGATTTCAAAGAGTCCCCTCTCTTTGGGCCTCTTACATTTGTAGACCCTGGAGGTCCGCAGGTAAGGTGTCGCGTGCTATGAAATTAAAGCATGTGAGAGTGCTTTCTCAAACCAGAAAGTGCCTTGCAAAAGTGAGTTTCGGCCCCTTCTTCCCATGATAGGTTAAATACCAGAGCACCCCCACCTCGCCCTACGGTGCCCAATCCTGTTGCCTCACCCGACAAGGCTGGTTCTTCGAAAAACAGAAAAAAGAAAAATTAAAATACTCTATCCCACCCGACAACTGCTTACAGTCCTGCACCTCCGCAACTTAGTGCAAACCTGCTCCAGAGTTCTAAGGTCTTTGTCTTTTCCACAAGACCTGTAATAGTCATTCTTCATGTATTTTTAGTTCCATCTGCAGGTCAGTTCTAAGGTCAACTAAAACACTTAAGACAAGTCGTTAAAGAGTATAAAGCCTTAGGACTTCTGCCAAAATCTGAAGTATTCGTGATCTTTTTGTTTGTTTGTTTTTATTGGTTGTTCACAACATTACAAAGCTCTTGACATATCGTATTTCATACATTAGATTGAAGTGGGTTATGAACTCCCAATTTTACCCCAAATGCAGATTGCAGAATCACGTCGGTTACACATCCACAATTTGGTCTTAAATGTTGCCTATTTTTACTAATATCTAAAAAAGATTTGAAGGGTGGAAAGAGACATCTGCAGTCCTTTGAAACATCTTCCTTGTCATTACTTTGTTTCGTATTTTGGCTGAAGTCAAAATATCCAAAGAAATGCGCTTGTTGGGTGCATGATGTTATTTGCAGTTCTTCTTTGGATCAACAACATACAATACCAAAGAACTGCAAGTCGGTATTGTATAATACAATATTTCATTTTTTCATGAATTAATGGAACAACCGCTTGTAATAAATACTTTTTTCTCCCTTCTCCGTGGTATTTTACTTTTATTTTAAAGGGAAGCTCTATCACTGAGGCACATCCCCAGCCATTTTATGTTTTATTTTGAGACAGGATCTTGCTAAGTTGCCCAGTCTAGCTAGCCTGGAACTTGCAATCCTCCAGCATCATCCTCCTGAGTAGCTGATTTTACAGTCATTTGCCATTATGCTTGGCTAGGAATTTTTCTTATAAAGGGATCTTTCATTCTCTGAACTGTTTAAAGTCTGTGATTATCTTTCACTAATACATACATCTATATACAGGTATGTGTATATGTATACAGGTTAAAAATATATATAAAACACATGCATATTTTTATTATATTACATATGTATATTAATATACATACGTTATAAATTATAATATATAGTTTTAACCCATTACAATACATATTAGCTTTAACATTACATACACACACACACAGTTTTAATCTGTTCAAAACTGTCAAAATTACAGTGGAAATTCCACAAAGATGTTTAAAGGCAGATTCCTTCCATTCACTAGCTAAGGTAATATAAATGATGATATACAACGTGATGATTGAAAGATTGGTTTTTACATTATTATTTACTTTGGGGAGTTTACTTTTGGTTTGAGGGAAGAAGGAACTTGAAAGCTTATTTAACCTGAAAATGATGGAACTCGAGACTCAAACACCCTTGCCAACTGGATTGGTTGTTATTATTTAATCTCTGCAGGTCAGATAAGAGGCATCTCTGGGAAGGTGGTTCAGGTGTAGGGGTAGGCTAGAAATAGGGTGGTTTAAGGGAAGATAAGCTTGGAAAATGCCATTAAGTATTTGTTTTCCCGTCAATCAGAGGCTTTGTCGTCTCAACAAGGGCAAAACATGCTGTGTTGAATGATGTTCTTAAGATTTCTAAGAGTTTCTTTTCCTAAGAAACTGAAAAACAGATAACCTCAATTTAGAGACATAGTATAAAATAAATGCTCAAGGGCCAAGTGTACAATTCAATGTAACCACCAGCTGTGTCAATATATACAATATGTCTGTCCAACACCCAAGAGGCCTTCCTTGTGCCATTCACCGCCACCACCACTGCAGTTCTGTTTTGCTTAGTATGTTTTTGAACTTAATATAAAGGAATAATACAGTATGTAGTTTTCATGTATGTGTGTCTGGTTTCCCCTTAGCAGTACGTGTGAATATTTGGGTTTGATATTTCAATTACAAGAAAGGTAGCTAATGGAATCTATGTGGATAAAGTTTTGCCTTAAAATTGTAAAAAGTACAGATCATACATTAGTTTCTTCTGTTGTAGAATATGATCTATGTTAAAAGGAGATAGTTCCTAACCACACTAATAAAAAAAAATCCTTATTGTGCATTAGGGAATATTTTCTTAGATATACTTTACTTTAAAATTTAAATCCTGTTTCATTCATATTTTTAATTTGTTTTGCATTTCCACAACTCTGCCTTCTTAGCAAACAAAAGATCATGAAATTATTGTTGTAAATAAAAATGACAGGTTTACCTAACTACCTTATGACAACAAATTCTGGTTTTATTCATGTTTACTATTTATAGTTAAACTCTCTCTTTTAAAAACTCATTTTGTTTTGTATGGTGGTTGATTTAGGGCTGCAAGGTCAATGTAATGGCTAACATGTCAAACACTAATCTTGTATTGAGTACCTAATTAAGATCATGATAAGTATAAAATACTTAAAACCCCATATAGGCTTCAAGGATTCTTTTGTATCTCCCTTCTCCCTTTTATTCTATCCTACAAAGACCAAGAGAAACTTGTACTGTTTATGGGGAGGGAAAAAAATTAGTTTTATGTGGTATATACAAAGTAAATACAATATGGGGGAAAAGATCATAACACACACACTTTGGGATCAACCAAAATAAATAAAGTTATTGAAAAAAATAGTCAATGTATTAGAATTTTCAATAGGAACTATGGAAGTTACAGGATCAATACTTTAAAATTCTGAAGAAAAATTAATGGATCAATACTTTAAAATCCTGAAGAAAAATTACTTAGTTTGGAATTCTAAAGCAAGCCAATCTATCAACCAATTATGAAATTAATTTTCAAACAAAGTTTCAACATTCCATGCATTCTTTCACTGGGAGCTAATGGAACATGTGTTCTACCTAAATGAAGAATAAATCAAGAAAAAGGACATGTGAACAAGGACATAAGAAGCCTAAAATAAGAAAGAAGAAAAAGGAATCATGGATTGGTGGATTGGAACAGGAAATGAAATTAATGGAATACTTAATACCATTTTAACCAATTGAGACTTACCATAGGTTATATTTGGGGTCAAATATAATGCTTATTACATGAAATTAAAACAGAATTATGAAATTTATCACTTTATTTACTCAAATATTTTAAGAGATAAACAAATTATCAAAAAGAATATATTGGCTTGCATGGTGGTACATACCTATAATCCCAAATACTTGGAGACTGACAGGAAGATTTCAAGTTTGAGGCCAGTCTGAGCAACTGAGAATTTGTCTCAAAAAATTTTTAAATGTGGATGTAGCTCAGTGATAAAGTGCTTGCTTAGCAAGTGCAAAGGACTATGTTCCATCCCTAATAAAACAAGAAAAAAAAAAAGGTATTTTGATTTTGGTTTTGTCATTCTTAAGTTATGCTTCCCTTTTGTTTATGAGGAACTATATTTGAACTGCCTTGCCTTACCCACAGCTTTTAGAGGAAGTACAGTCAGCTGGAAATAAAAGCAAAATTAGATAAACAAAACAGATCAATAACATACGGTAAAAACATTTTAAAATTGTTTTCCATAAAATAAGAGCATGAAGAGAAAAGTCTACAGAATGGGAGAAAATCTTTGCCAGCAACTCTTCCAACAGAGTATTACTACCCAGAATATATAAACAAGAAACAACAATCCCCATTAAAAAAATAACCTAATCAATATATGGACAAATGAACTATTTGTTCTCAAAAGAAAAAATACAAGTGACCAACAAATATATTTTAAAAAGTCTTCATCTGCAGCCGTCAAGGAAACATAAATCAAAACCACATTGAAATTTCAACTCACTTGGAGGCTGCTGACCTGGAGGCAGAGGCCATGCCAGAGTCCCTGAGCTACGAGGAGCAGTTTCCAAGGAATGTGGAGCTCTTCATCTGGAGCTCTTCATCGCCAACTCCCAGAAGTTTGTCCAGGAGACAGAGCTGAGCCAGCACATCAGGGACTGGGAAGACACCATCCAACCCCTGCTCCTGGAACAGGAGCAGCATGTGCCCTTTGATATCCACACGTACGGGGACCAGGTGATCTCACGATTCCCCCAGCTCAACAAGTGGTGTCCCTTTGCAGAGCTGGTGGCAGGCCAGCCTGCCTTTGAGGTGTGTCGCTCCATGTTGGCCTCCCTGCAGCTGGTCAATGACTACAAGGTGGAGATTAGCCAACAGCCAGGGCTGGAAGCAGCTGTGGACACCATGTCTC